AGTAAAAATCTGAATACCACCTGCATTTTTCCAGGTATCTGACTATTGCTACCTATTTTCACCACTAATCTCCAGGAAAAACGAAGTTGAACACAAAATCCACCCTAAAACTCTAACCTGAGTAAACATTTGCCAACTATTTTAGTTCAAAAATATATAATTTTGTATGGGATATTTTATGGGTAAAACAAATGGGAGTATTAGCCTTAAATCTGGCATCAAAAAACATTGTGATATCTCTAAACTCATTTTCACTATCCATATGTACAGAATTCATTATAATAGGGTCATCCGCGGGCTAATACGTTATAGCTGAAATCAATATTCCTTAATGTGTAATGTTTACCGTCTTAAGATATTTGTACATTTTAACGACTGAATAGGTGCGACCTGGCGAGAGCCATAAATCATGTCAACGTTCAAAGGTTGAACCGACACGGATGTAATATAGGATGTTGACAACAAGTAACTTGTTTATAAACAACACTTGTTAAGTTATGAAAAAAGTAATTTCCGAAAGGTTCTAATTTCTTTGCCTTGGAAAGTGACTTATACTGACTGATACCTCAGTCGACATTTTTAAAATGCTTGATCTTAGTATGCATAATATATATTTCCGACCGCATGTGAACACGTCAAAGACAATCTGATGATACTAAAATATGTTAAACAGCTTCAGAAATATACTAGTACAACGAAAATCTTAATCCTAAATGGTTAGGAAATTATTTTAATGATGATAATTAGATAGTTTATTTTGAAAATTCCATAACACGCACAAATTCAAAATGGAGAACTCCGGAGAACGAGCAAAACCTTTAAAAAAGTTTAAAACATGAAAAATACCATGAGCCCGCTCACCAGCACACACCCGAAGTTTTTTTACAAATAAACGCAAACATACTTGAATGATTCCTAGGCCACAAATAAACAAACAAACAAACAAAAGACATGAGAATGTGTTAAACTTTCTGGTTGTTGCACGTCTAGGACACGTAAGCTAATAATGACCAATTGAAAGCAAAAGTGGAGCTATTTGGTCCAAATTAGAAAACACCTTTCAAAAAACTTATATCCAGAATAGCTGTGTTACATGTAACATATTAACCAGTTTTAGTAGCTAGTGTTGCTATTCTAGATATACTCGACATACACGCCAATACCAACGTGTTGCACACTATATATGACGCTCCAGAAGTATGTGTACCAATAAGGAGGTAACTAATTTTGTTCGCCTATTTTACATCAAGTTGTGTAAAGGAACGGAAACCTGGGGACAGGGGAATATCACTTGGCTAACACAGACAATCAGGAAAATTGAAATAAAACTATGGCCTAACTCTAGCTTGATACACATACTAAGGGAGTACTATTTATATATATAATACTTATAGTAAGAGGAGCTTAACCCAGGTCACTAAATTGTTCTGTGTTCCCTGCGGAATGCGCGGTGGTTTGCATAAACTCAGTAGCAATGATTCCTATTCCACCAAAACTTGAACGAATTACCTTGACAGACGAGATATAGGTCCATAAATCATGTTATTTCAAATTCATTTTTCCGACACGTTGGTATTAGCACAAAACTGCTGCGGGATTGTGCCTTGACACGAGATTGCAAAAATTGTGACAGAAGGAATTAAGGTGACAATATATTTGTGTAATGCAAGTGTTTATACATGCTTAACCGAATATGACGTCGGGAAAAGGGCAATTAAATTGCCACCTCAATTTGCTATACAAACATTTCAAAATAATTTTCTAAAATAATTTTCACAATACAGTAAATACGAGCAGTTTAAACAAAAAATCATTCTAAATCTATCAAAACGTTTTGTTGGACCAGCGCCTGTTTGTTGAATTTTTACCCAATAGCACAAAAACAGTAGAAGAGCGACTTTTTTAAACGCTTACAATACATTCGGTACTCCCGTAGTATGTGTACCAGGTTAGGGTTAGGCAATAATTTCAGGTACAAATACTACGGGAGTCACTTGGCTAGTCCCCGAACTCGTAATAGAACTAAAATAAGGAAAATCGGAATAAAATTATGGCCTAACCCTAACCTGGCACACATACTATGTGTAAACATTCTTGGGTCACATAATACGAGAGCACCATACATTCAACGCCCCAGAAGAGTACTTGCGGAGGTTAAAATTCAACCAACTAATAAATGCAACTTCGTTTCTCACAAAGTAAGAACTTATTTTAAGAAAAAAAATGCAGTTTTTCATAGACTCACAAACTGTGAGTGATTCTGCTGCAGAATCATCATTTGCTATTAACCTCCATCCGAGCGTGACGAAATACGTGAGGTTTTGGTATTTCTGCCAACAGCTTATTAAGAAAGTGTTGTTTAGCACCTTTGTACATAAACATAGTCATGGATCATCCCAGATGTGCAATGATTCGTGACCTCTAACGTCATTGTTTACGTAAACAAATATTATTATACTGAAATATTATGAAAGTAAATAAAACTACATAAATTTTGAAGTTATATCCTTATAGTAAAGCAGTTCAATGTAACTTCTCAAGGGCATATTTGTAAATGATAAATGTAACAAATCTAACCATTATTGCATGAATTGCAATCCTAACATAAAGACAGTTCGGATTCATCTTAAGTTTCCATTTCATATTATTGATTATTACTAACAGTGATTATAATATACAATTTGGAGTTTACAAGTGTTTTTCAAGGTCAAACTTGTCGTGCGAGGATGTTCAGTCTATTAATCCACCATGACAAACCATGGACCGCAAATTAGGGAAATAGCCGATGCCAGAATTTCGGGTCGATTTTAGGAGGCACTTGGGTGTAGATATGTTGATGAATGATACGAAAAGCCATACTTTGTGACGCAAATTCGGTTTCAAAAACAGTGACACAGTGTAAGACCCGTAAATCTCTTGTCAAAGAGTTCTTTTATCAGTTTTGACAATGACCAATGAATGTACATCGGTGGTTTTCAAGAAATGCAGAATGCTATGCGCGCACATACAAAGAGACTTTATTTATACATGACGCTCATTCGCGTCTTTCGACTCGAACGAGGCCCTATAAATATCTCAACTATCTCAATATATGCGAGCAGCTATTTCACGAAAAGTAATTCTCCGTCATTTCCATAACATTATCCAGTTTGCCTAAATTTCACTAAGTGTCTATGTATATTTTCTCTCAGCTTTCCCACAGATTCAGCCAGAGTCGTACTATAATACTCCATTGTTTTGACGTACCACAGAAGTTCTACCACGAAATTTACAACAATATATTTTCAATGCTACCAACCTGCGATGCTACTACTGTTCTCATTTGTAATATTAATTGCTTGTCTCATTACACATGATCCCAGCGTCTGGGATTCTGTCGTCAGAAAGCGTATCAAGTAACATTTACACCAATACATCAGGCGATCAAATTTCTTCAAATACAAATAAACAGAAGCGTCGGGTCGAATATTTGCAAATTCAATGGTTAGTGTATATCTCATGTTGAAATTTCAATTGACAACTTGCAGATGTGCGTCAGGGAAGGCATCAATCAAGTGGGAATACACATAAGCACTCAACTGATTGGCATTTTACAATATCTTGCAATTCGTAGCTCCACAGCGACACCGTGGTAAAATTTGTTTTGGAATTCAAATCAAATCGATAATACAGACACATTCGTTATTATTACTGATAAACTAAAAATAGCGAACATTGTGTTTTTGGAAAATTTGCGAATTTAAATTTCTGAAAACTTTAACGGGATATCAAAACTGCTAATTTTCAAATTTCGCTGCAGCGACTCGTTTCCATGGCGAGACAAGCTAATGTCACAGCTGTGCTGAGAGCGGTTTGCAGCTGCGTGTGTAGTCTGTTTTATAGCTCTTCTTTTAAATCTTATCGTTTGAAGAACAAAACATTGTATGATTTGAAGCCGTATTGTTTTCAATCAGCCCATGCTTATATTTATTGAATTAGCTATTTGCATATTTGTACCGATATGGTAATTCCTAGCTTGGAGACGCTGAGCAGATGAATATTAGGATAGGATTTACCAACGGCCGGCAACCAACTTGCCTAATGTTAAACAAGTTCATGGACGCCATCTTGTGCCATATTTGGGAAACGCGAAACAATGCAGTCTTATGGGAAATTTTCGTCGTGTTGTTGTACGGTACCAAATCGAATAAGTCCGCTGTTATAAGGGCTAGAATGAAACTGAAGGGTGGATTTTGAACTTTAAGACATATGCTATCTAAATATATAACGCGATTAAGAATAAAAACTATCTAATGCGTTAAATTCGACTACAAACACAGCATAGAACCATTTTTGGTCATTTTTTTAAAGATTTTATAGTGATACGCCAATTTGAGGCTGTAAAATGTCTCCGCAACAATCCTACAATGTCATTTGTTATTCTAGCGCAGCTTGGAGCTGAGCAGTAGGGCATTATGGAGCTTGACAGACGAATAATGTTAAACAGAAAATAGAAACCTCCATTGAAGCAAAGTTGGGTCGGCCGGTAATTTCGACGAAAAAATACAACTTTTCATCTGTGACGTCATAAGGAAGGCTATTGTCAAATGGTTAATTATGACGATTAGAATGGCCAATTTACTTCGGAAGCAACTCGGAACCGGTATACTTGTCTTCAAAGACAATTTAATGTACTGTAAATGTAATTTGGCCAACATGAAAGGATATAAGCATGTACGGCTAAGATTCTACTTCAAAACGCGACCTCCAAAATTTTTCTACCTAAAATATTAGTGAAAATAATAGGTATGTTTCAATAATTGTGTTGGAACTTCTCATAAGGCGCTGTTTTAAATTGCCGAGAACAATAGGCACAAGATGGCGTCCATTGTCTGAGCGTGGCGTCGCTTATATTATATATACGCTTTGAGATTTACATACCGCTGTACCGTATTGATCCTGGCATCTGGGGGAAAGAAAAGTGGCACAGTTAATTCACAGTGGCACACCTAATTCACCGACATTTTTTTTATTCTGATCTTGAGTATTTCAGCTGTTTAACTTAAAAATAAAAAATGAAGGAAAAGGCTGAAGATGGGGGGAAACCGAAACCAAAAAATTGGAATCCAAAATCAGTTGGTCAATTGAAAAAGATGGCGCCGCAACAAAGGGCAAGGTATGCTCCTTCGTAGTACTGTGACAATCTTTATTAAAAATGCAAAATACTCAGTTTTTCATGAGTATTTACTCAAAGCAAGGTCACACACACACACTCATAATTCTAATTGAAAGTAAAAATATTTGTTAAACTTGATATCACTGCCTTATGTGGGGTGTTTACATTTTAAAACTTTTCATTTTTTTTGTTATTTACGTTTCATTCACGTATTTTTAGAATATAACATACTTTTGCCTTACTATCTGTTATTTGTAGCTTATTGTTAGCTAGGTATTTTTGAGGTAAGGTGTGAGATGATTAATAAGTTTTCTTGTGAGAATTTGATCAAAGCAAGATTATATCATAAGTAAAAGTGACTCGAATTCGAGAAATGTTACTTGTCATCACTGAGATGGCAAGATTTACTTATAATAGGATACGATTTACATATTTATACCGGGGGAGAGGAAAGCCGATAAGACAGTTTAATCATACTGTCATATGGCGAACCACGGTCTCTCGTGTGGATACCAGTCCATGTCGGGTATGGGATTAGTTAGCCAGTTATTTGTTTACGGAAGTATGGACTTGATAATATACAGAATTATTGTCAGTTCACATGTACAATTTTACTTCAAGACAAAAGTTTATTATTATTGAATAAAACTTCTCATATTATCCGTGCATATGAACTGAGTGACTAGTTAACTACTCCTATACCTGACATCTCTGTGTTGCTTAATTTGGTTTTTCTAGTGGTGGCTTACCTCATTACATATTGTAGTGATCGAATAATTTGAAAAAATAAATCTTATCATCTGATCACAATAAATTAACAAATGGTGCGTGTGTCAGTGGTCCCTAAACTGGTAGTAATTACCCCAAAAGGGGTAATTTGGCCATTTTGCTGCCCATTAATTTGTTGATCAATTCATTTTGCTCATGCCTTGGCATAACAAGGTAAGATTTCCTGCAGTATTGGTATTCAATATCAGATTCACCCTTCTTTAAAGTAAAAATGAAATAATAACCAAATTGTATTTCAAAATTCAGATATCTCGCATATGAAGATCCAAGCAAAGAGTCAGCAGAAGCAATGGCAGCTTCATTGAAAAGAATTCACGAACAAAAAACGTTACAGAGGAGAGATGTAATTCATGTCGCACAAGAAGAAATTGATGACAGTGAAAATCATAGCAAATTAATAGGACAACTAAAGTGAGATGTGTGTTTTTTAATGTGATTTAACCTCTATACAAGGCTTGGCGGTGTGGCGCATCGTGCGAGTGAATTGCTGGTATCCTCGCCACCCTAGGGTGTTTCATGTAAATGCTGGTTGTTTACGGCTTCCTCCACCATCAAGTCCATGCTTCCAAAAACAAATACCTGGCTAACTAATCCCATATCCGACATGGACTGGTAACCAATATTTGGTATGGGGTAGCATCGACCACACCTTGACTTTGCTTTAGTATTGCGAAAACGACTAAACTCAGCTTCCTAAACGAAGCCCAAATATTATTACTTTTTAACAAGGATATGCAGATGAAGAATATTCACAATTGGTTTTGACTTCGGACCAGTTGTTGGATATTCCAACTCAGAATCAATATCTGAGCTCCCAGTGAAATCAAATTTGATGATGATGTATGCAAGCCTCTTTAATAGACTGTCAACTGTCAAGAATGATTAGTCAACTTAACTTTTTTTAGAATATTTGACTATCATGGAACAGGGATAAAAATTGCCACTAAATTGGTCGTCATGGCCATCTCGGTCCTACTTCGGTGACTCTTGGTTATAAATTTGTCTCCCTACTGGCAACAAACAGGCGGACAAGCCTTGCTATATGAAAAAGCAGACAGACCCTGTGCCAGTCTGGAAAGCATGGGGTTTTCATTGATCGTTCAATATCGTTAACCATCGGTTTAATTTTTTTTTAATTGTCAAGTTTACAGCAACTTTTTTATTTATCATAGACTAATTTTTTTGAAAACCAATCTTACCTTCTAATTTCTTGGTGTTCCGCGAGGCGAGGTAAAATCGTGGGTGTTTTGAAAACAAAAAAAAGTTAGAGAAACACTGTATTAACTTATCATTCTGTATGATATTTTTCAGAGCTGCCGAAGCAAGGAATCGTATTCGAGTGATGAGATTAAGATATCAGGGAATGAGAGCCCATGAGATTAAACATTTAATTGCCTGCCAACCTACTTCATTGAAAGGTAAGAAAAAAATATCAAAACTGATGCTCTACCTCCCAGCTCCAAAAAAATCAAATTTCACCACTTGTTGAGAATGCTTAGTCAACTTACTGTCATCCGATTAAAAAGCCATTACATCTTTTTGGTTGAACGTTGCAGACGAATATCCGTTGCTGTAGGAAATGAAAATGAAACCACTGAGGGTATTTTTCTGTATCATACATAACTATTTTCTGCAGCTTGCAGCTTTTCAGACCTCCAAAACCCATGGTTTTCCGGACCCACTAGCTGTCACATTTTAATTTGGCAATTGGAAATTTCAGAACACCTTTGAAAAATATATGGCTACAGCACTGACTGATAGATCAAATTTTTTTTTCAGAATTGGTAGCTCATCAGTCCCAGTATATATACCGTATTTGCTCGTTTGTAGCCCGGACCCATATTTTTTCCAACCAACTCACTAACCAGGCCCTTATACAAACTGGCCCTTATTCAAGCACGGGCACTTGTTATTTTCGATTGTTACAATAATTAATATATTGTTATTTCCAGTTCTCAAGTATGATTTAAACGAGAATAATGAAAATTTTGACTTTTTCTATGCGCCGCAGGTACAAATCCGCAAAAGGAGAAAAGTTTTGCGACGCCCTATTAATATTGACGCACTTGGTCGTCGAGACGCTCAGTTTGAGAACCATGGTGTTACGTAATCAATGCTATCTGTTATGTACTTGGACGCCTAAAGCGTGAGTGTTATCAACCGGCGCTTAAAATTCAACAGCGTTGTGACAAAAGCGCTTCTTATTTCTTATTGTTCTCTACCACTGAAAAATCAGCTTTTACATCAGGCGGGTATTCAAGCACCGGCCCTTATTTATTTTTATGTTCTGTTCATACGGGCAGTTATTCAAACGGGCCCTTAATCAAGATCGGGCGGTAAAACGAGCATATACAGTATGCTTATAAACAGCCTTGAATGTGCGAAAACATCTATGCTCGTCGGTATGGCTCATCCCGCTAAGCGTTAGGAATGCGATTGCCACAGTATCTCTGATTACCCTGCGTGGGTTCGCAAGTTCTAATCCTAAACTCGACATGGACTGGTAACCGAACAAGAGGTCGTGGTTTTCCATATGATTAAGCTTCCTTAACGGTTCCCTCTCTTCAGAGATAAATATGAAATCCTGAAACATCTAATTTTTCTGTATTTCAGCATTAAGGCTTGAAGCCCTTGTTCCACCAACCATAGACAACAGTAATCCTGGAGATGCCTTGGATAAATTACAAAGAGCAAGAGTAGAAACCATATTAGAAGATGAGAACGGACTGACTACAAATCGAAAACTAGATTGAAAAGTTTAAAGCCAATAACTTTTTATACGACTCCAATCAAATAATCACTGTCGGTCTTACTTTTCATTCGAAGAAATTGAAGTGCCCCCTTTTGAATAAATGAATTGTTTTATAGGATTTTTTTTCCTTCCTAATCAGGCATCTTTTTGTTTCAAGGCAATTTGAAACATCGAACTTATTGAGTTGCTATCTTTTGGATAAATGAAATGAAATATGTTTTAGCTTACTTTTCAATCAAACAAATTGAATTGCCATCTTCTGAATAAATAAGTTGCTTCATACGGAATTTTTCTCCCTTTCTAATCAGGCTTTTTTGTTTCAAGGCAATTTAAAACATCGAACATATTGAATTGAATAAATGAATTGGAATATGTTTTAACAGGACTTTGTTCACAGTCCTTAATGAGACATGTTTCTGTTTTAATTCAAGTCAAAACCTGACAAGAACTTGTAAGCGGACTGCACTTACTTTTGTTTTATGTTTAAATAGGTTTCAATGAAATTCTTAATTGTTTCCTTATTTTAATTCCATTTTCTTTCATCTATGAGATAGTAACAACAATGCCGAGTTTTTCTACTTTAAGTTTATGTTGCAAAAATTTACATGTCATGTACGAGTCCAGTGGTTCTCAAACTTTTTGATCCGCACCCCGTTTTTAGAACTTGTCAAGTCTTGCTAACAGATAGATGATAAGTCGAAAGTATGTTTTATTCAAAAAACATGTTGAAATACGTGGATGGAACATAAATATCTAAAATAAAGAAATGTAAATATCTAACATAGGGCAGGCAAGATCAATTCTAATAAATATTTTTATATATAGCTTCATACCCCCTCAAAAATTGTCTACACCCCCCTTGCCCCCACTATTTGAGAACCACTGCACCAGTCCATACGAAGTTAAGTCCATTGAAAGCAACTTAAAAGTCAAAATGTATTGTGCATGTATTTCTACCAAAGATTTTTTCATTTTAAACATAGAATTGTTTTTATCATGTAAATTGTTGCTATTTGTTATAAGTATTTCTATTTTCAGTAAAAAAAATTCAAGTAAAGTCCAATAATTTCATTCATTTTGCCTTGTACATGACCTCGTTCAGGATCATTTATAAATGTGGCATCATCACGGTTTCCTATCTTCACATTTGCATAAAAATCAGTTAGTTGTTTCAGATACATAAACTTGATAGCGGATTAGGTCAGGGATGAGCTGGGAAAATCGTAACAACCAGAACGCAACTAATTCGTGAAAATGTATTATATTTACAGCACGTCCGCATACGCTTTCCCCGAGTTTTGTTTTTCCCCAAAAATGACATATTTTCATAAAGTTCGTCGTCACGTAACAATTGAAATTTGTCCAGCAGACCTGACACTTTTTTTACTCCGACAGATTCTCAAGCGCGAATGTAAATCTTGCCTTGTTTATGTGGTTTTAGGTTTTTTTATATTTCAAAAATATAAGTATGAATAAATTGTAAGAATAGACGAGGCTAAAATCAGTTGGCATTACCGCTTAATAACAGCAGTTTGATTAATTTGCAATAAAATGGCGTTTGAAGCGTTGAAGCTGTCGGAAGCGTTCAACCTGTCGGAACATGAAAACCCTTTTCCAAAAAAGCATGGAAAATGTTATAATGATAAGGTATGGGACGTTTCCCCGAACTTTGGCCCCCCAAAATTTCTCCTTATACTTTACTTTTGCAAAAAAAAAAAATTACGCCTCATCAACCCACTACTAACTACCTCCCGAAAACCTTCAGTCCCGACCTCTTTTCCTATCTCCCTCGCCTTCTTATCCTGGACCCACTTCACTATTCATTCCCTCAGCCTCCCTATTCTCGAGCCATTGTCCTATCTCCCTCAGCGTTCCTATTCTCGACCCACCGCCCTGTCTCTCTCAGCCTTTCCCACTTTCGACCTATTACCCTGTTTACCTCAACTTTCCTATCCTCGACCGACTGCCCTATCTCCCTCAACTTTCCTATCCTCGACCGACTGCCCCATCCGCCTCAACTTCCCTATTCGCGACCCACTGCTCTATCTCCTCCAACCTCCCTATTCGCGACCCACTGCCCTATCTCCCTCAACTTTCCTATCCTCGACCGACTGCCCCATCCGCCTCAACTTCCCTATTCGCGACCCACTGTCCTATCTCCCTCAACTTTTCTATCCTCGACCGACTGCCCCATTCGCCTCAACCTCCCTATTCGCGACCCACTGCTCTATCTCCTCTAACCTCCCTATTCGCGACCCACTGCCCTATCTCCCTCAACTTTCCTAATGGCGGCCGACTGCCTTATCTCCCCCAACCTTCCTATAAGCGACCCACTGCGCTATCCCCCTCAACTTACCTATCCTCGACTAACCGCCCCGGCTTTATTTCCCTCAACTTTCCTATCATCGGACCACTGCGCTATCCTCCTCGACTTACCTATCCTCGACCAACCGCCCTATACTACCCGTAGCCGGACCAACTGCGCTCTGCCCACGTTCCGATCTTCGCACTAAACCTTGTTTGCCTGCGATTATCCGAACTCCCAAGTTTTATACGGCTCGAATATGCCAATGAGGTGATTGAAGCGTACGTCGACGAAACAAGCTTATAAGGTTGACGGCATTCGTGACATATATATTGTTATGAGTATATTTCAATGTGAAACAAACGTATAGTTTCACTGAGTATAAATGATACAAAAATGTTTGAAATCTTTCGAAAGACACGTATTTACATCATTTGCCAGGCCATTTAAATATAGGTTGCAATCGCAAATGGTAGTCAGTCACCATAATTGATAACTCAAATATTTGCTACTTGTTATGCCACTGATGTTCCTGAGAGTGGAAGCACGTATATAAAGCATGTTTGGAAATATTAAAAAAAAAATTTAATGATCTTCAAGCGCAACGCATCTAAATATAGAGAAGAAATTTTATATGTAAACCAAAAGATCCTTTGAGAAAACAGGTTTCGAGAAATAAAGGTTTCGGCGCAACGCCGTTGAAATCCTGAAAAAGGTACGATAAATCAAATATCATTCAATGAATCCTTATACAGTAATTCGGGCCCTCACGCAATCCAAATAGACAGCCACTAACAACAACTATTAAACATCTGCCACATCATGAATTTATATCCAAGCAAATGGGACGACGTAAGCTAAAACAAGGGACATATGAATACAATAATTCGGAATCCAATGATTGGCAGAAAATAGGTTTACTTAACAACCAACCAGTTGAAAAACGCTGCTTTAATTTTTTACGAGTACGAGTTTTCAAAACTTAGTTCTTATTAATTTGTTTAGTATCACAAGTATTATAATGCGGGTGATCCAATCATTTTTGTAAATGTTATTCCGGCGGACCGTTACACATGCCTGCTCACTGCAACGCAATAATTATACGCAAAAGAGCTTGGCATAGTATAGAGATGATCACAGGTAAAGTCGTCCTCGACGACGTATGCAAACTCCCGTACGCCAGGGATCTCACACAGCTCAAAATAAACATACACCGCAAGCTGAAATACAGATTCCGGCATTCCGCCATCGACGTTCACTAATAATTATCATAACAACGCATGATTTTGTGAGCATATTTTTTTAAATTCATGGGTCATCAATTTTCTTTTAAGGGCGTCTTACATCTTGACTCCAAGCAAAGTTTTAGACAAGCAGAAACAAAATTCATATGGTAACACGCACTCGATTAGTAAAGTACACTTTAATAGTTGTCTCAATAGACGTTATACGTTTTAACTTGCAGCAAGGCCCTATACAGGCAGAAATGGCTCGTTAACTTAAATTATTCTACACAATGAAACATTGAATAAAAATGTAGCATGTTTCTATTTCAAACAAAAACTTCATACACTCTACAAGATATTACAATTTTGAAAAACATTTGATACACACACAATTTAGTTCTTGGTTAAAATATTAAAAAAACACAGAAAAAACGGCCACAGTTTTATGTTTAGTCAAGGGGTTGCTTCGTATTTGATGGTTTTATATTTGGCTCGAGTGGCTTGAAATAACATAGACGCATGCATAAAGCATGCTTACCGTTTTTCAACCTCAAGAAAAACACCTATTTTTGTATAATGCATTTTAAAAGTCTGGTACTTAAGTATTAAAATTATTGTTGACATCATATAAATATTCAGTTCCGATACCAAATGACAGAAGCCATTTTAAATTTTCGAAATCGCTTTGCCGAAGTTATTTCACTCAATTTAATTAACACTCCTAAGAATTTATAGTTTCATAAGTTTTCACGGTGTTATCAGTTTTATTGATAGTTGACATCGGTTCTTCGTAACATGTAGTATCGTTGTCGTAGGTATATGGGAATTCGGGTTAATTTGGCTTTGAACTTGATGGTGATGATACAAATGTGGTTTGATAAGGATTAACAATAGAAATATCGTTGGATCGTTGTTTGGATTCTGTTTCCACGTTCCTGCTTTTCATTCTAGAAAAAGACAGAATAACTTTGAAAATATAGAACAAACCTTTAATTGAAGCAGAAATACATTTGGAATTAATTTGCAGCAGATATAAAATAGCGCGAAACCAAAACTATAACATTTAAACGTATAAAACATTTACACGCTTGTTGTCTTGGCGGTAGAGATAAAAATAATCCAGCACACACCATATAAAATGGTGCGATTTAAATGTGGCAAGAAGGTTAATTTTGAGATTCTATTTCATATTTCATCAAAGTGCACATTTTGGTACAATATGTTTCCAAAGTAAAAAAAAATACCGTGCGTCGTGTGACTCTTTTGCCACCCTCTCAATGTTCAGAAAATATTTTTTTTAAATGTAAAAAGTGGGTTAGTCTTTTCCTTTTTGCATATGAATTAACCAATTTCCCTTATTGAATTCCAAGAGATATATAGATTTGTGATCCAAAATTAGGTATTTACATATTACCAAAGATTTTGTGGCGCTGAAAGCATTTGCACTTTGAGTAAAAAAAACTCTTCAAACAGAGGGTAAAAATATATATTTTATATTATAAATAATAGAAATAAAAAAATCCATACTTTTTTTTAATTATCCAAAAAACAATCAATGCCAGAGCAATTCCAATTCCAACACAAGTGACAGAAATGACAATAGTTAAGTTGATGCCTGAAACATTAAAATTTTATGAATATTTAGTTTCCTAATCATTGCCCGTGTATCGCGAATGACGTTGTCGATTCAAATCTTTTCGATTTTTATAAATTAGTATGTGCGGGAAATGAAAATTACCCTTTCCCGCATCATATTTGTTTCGTCTCCAATATCGAACCTGCATATTCCAACTTTAACAAAGATTATGGTAGTTCATACTGAAGCTTACCTTCAACTACAACTGTCACAGTAATTGATGATGAAATGAAATAAGCTTCGAGGTTTGACTCAGGATCAGCTAGGAATGTATATGTCGTTCCTTGACTAGGTTTTTTGAAAGGCCCAAGATTGATCTC